AGAGAGAAGGGAGCCATTGTGGAAAATACAACCTTGTCTCTATTTAGAAATGTTGTCTTTTGAGGGCCCACCTGGTAGTTTCTTATTGGTGGCTTGTGATAAGCGATAGCCTAGCATTGAGTAATTCTATCTCAACATCCTTCAGACACAAGATACCACAACTCTAACGACACCTCGGTCAAAAAATTAAAACATTGAGCTGAGCAAAGCTGGATGTTCCTGGTCAGGGAACCGATTGTCACAAGGACACCATCCAGAAAGAGACAAAAGTGAGAAGAATGCCAGTCACCTTCCTCTTCATTAAGTTGGGAATCTTCAGCTGGTCTCTTCGGAAGGCTCATCCCAATTCCCACTTCCTCTTCATCTCCTTTTAGCCCTTCCCCCTCTCCTCCTCCTAACCACTCTCTCCACGTGTTTCTGTGGCTCCACCTACCCTGACTCACTTCCTGCTTCTGTGCTCATCTTTCTGAGTCACCTCTGCTGATCCCTGTACTAACCCTACACGTTTAGGCTTCTCCATGAATTCTAACCTTCAACCACCATCCCCAACCTCCTCTGTGATTTCCCCATATATTAAAAAATTTTGAATCATGGCAGAACACACATAACCAAAATTACCATCTTAACTGTTCTTAAGCGTACAGTTCAGTAGTGTTAAGTAAATCCACAGTGTTGTGCAATGGAGCTCCAAAACTCTTTTCATCTTGGGGAACTGAGACTGTAGCCATGAAACACATCCCCATTTCCCCTCTCCTAGGCCCCTGGAAACCACTGTTGTGCTTTCTGTCTCTGTAGGTCTGACTACTTTACTACCTCTTATAAGTAGAATCATGTAATATTTGTCTTTTGGTAACTGCCTTATTTCGCTTAGCCTGATGTCCTCAAGGTTCATCTGTGTTGTAGCTTGTGTCAGCATTTCCTTCCTCTTGAAGGCTGAATTATACTCCACCGTATGTACATACCCATTTTTGTTTACCCATCCATCCGTGGACAGACACTTGAGTCGCTTCTGCCTTTGTTGTTATTTTATTGTTGTTGTCATCGTCATTGTCGTTAGCCATCTTAATGGATGTGCAGTGGTTCTCACAGGGGTTTTGAATTGCATTTCCCTAGTGATTGGTGACAGGGAGCACCTTTTCCTATGCCCACTGGCCATTCATAGATCTTCTCTGCATAAAAGTCTGTTCAAATCCTTTACTTATATTAAATCAGGTTGCTGTTGAGTTGTTTCTGTCTCTTCTGTGGAGGGGGACTCCCCCTTCCCATGGCTGTAGCAGGCCCCTTTCTCTGGTCTGTGCACCCACCCTTTATCCTGAGCCCTCTGATGTGCTGCTGCACCTCTGGCCACCCAGACTACAGACTTTGGGCTCCCCTCTGACTTCCTGTATCTTATTTCTCATGTGCAGCTCATTGCCACATCTGTCAGGACTGTCTCCACCAGCCTGGCCTGGTCTGTCCTCTGCCTCGTGCTGTTAGAGCCACCGCCCCAGTTCCACGGTGCCCGGGTGATCTCATGCCAGTATATTTTGGTCTTGACTCATCTCTGATCTCTGGTGAAATCTCGGGGTGAGGTAGCCTGGGTGAAGGGTGGTGGAGAGCTTGAACAAACGTATTTAATAATATTTTATATTTGGGAAAAAAAAACCTTTTTATATGACATGGAATGAAGTTCATAACATTTGTTCTTGACTGGGGTGTGCTGTGCACGTGGCAGATTATCTTTTATGAACAGCAGTTTAGAATATTGATGCTGATTGAAATGTTGAAATATTTGTGAAGCATTTAATCTATGCCAGACACCAAATATTTTATACATAATATCTTGTTTAGGGGCGCCTGGGTGGCTCAGTGGGTTAAAGCCTCTGCCTTCAGCTCAGGTCATGATCCCGGGGTCCTGGGATCAAGCCCCGCATCGGGCTCTCTGCTTAGCAGGGAGCCTGCTTCCTCCTCTCTCTCTCTCTCTGCCTGCCTCTCTGTCTACTTGTGATCTCTGTCTACCAAATAAATAAATAAAATCTTTAAAAAAATAATAATAATATCTTGTTTAACCTCATAACAACCTTATGAGGTGGTTGGTGTTATCCAGAAATGGAAGCTGCGGTCTGGAGAGGCCCCAGGTCACCCATCGAGGTAGTTATAGATGTGGTATTTCAACTCTGGAAATCTGGCTCTAGAGCTTTCTGTATAGTTATAGGAAGCACAAGGCTTTTCTAATTTCCAAAAGGGGGGCACATGTTAAGTGGAACTGAGAAAACCTGGACTCAGGAACCCAGGCTTCTCATCTCCTTACTGCCTCCCTCCGCCCCCCGCCATCTTGCCAGCCGGGATTCTCTGTCTGTCCTCTGTGGGCACTGTGGCCTGTGAGGATTCCTGAGGTGGGTCTGGATATAGCCTCTCCTCTCTCACTTGCATGTGCTGTCACTCCAGAGAGCCCTCCCCCTGTCAGTTGCCTCAGTGGTGTTTCTTTTATTTTTTTTTAAAGATGTATTTATTTTAGAGCATAAGAGCACATGTGCAAGAGCAGGGGGAGGGCAGAAGGAGAGAGAGAACCTCAAGCAGACTCTGTGCTCAGTACGGAGCCCGACCCAGGGCTTGATCTCACGACCCTGAGATCACAACTTGAGCCGAAATCAAGAGTCAGACACCCAACTGACCGAGCCACTCAGGCACCGAGGCCTGAGTGGTCTTTCTTCAGGAGGCGCGATCCCTCCTCCAAGCTGGACTCGCCCTCCAGCTCCCCCATGCCGCGTGCTTACCATGGGGCTCAGAGTGAGGCGAGAGTACCGGTACCTCTCTCCCGAGTGCGCAGCCCTGCTCACTTCCTTCCCAGCTAGACTGTCGGCAGCCTGAGATAAGACCGGCCTCCTGACCCCGAAGCCCTGCGGTCTCCCTCTGTGCCAAGCACAGACTGCGGTGTGAAGATCATGGGTTACCGATGTTTCCCCAGGGGAGGCTCTGGCCATCCTAAAATCCAGGGCTGTGGTTTTGACTCTTCATTTTTGTGGGTCCCCCAGAGTTCCCGTCTTCAGAACAGACCCAGGAGTTGGACCCTTTGGATCACAGGCCCTGGCCTTCCTCTTCTCCCTGGGCCTTGATGCAGTTCTCTTTTCAGAGCTTTGCTTTTCCTGCTGGCCACAGCGGTTTTGTTAAGCAAAAGGGAAGTCGCTCTAGGGAACTTTCACCCGGTGCTAAAATGAGCAGCGGCTGGGAGAGGAGTAAGGGAGCTGGACTGTGTCTGCAGGGGAGTGAGGCCCAGAGACACCGGCTCGCTGGGCCTCCACGGAGGCTGGTTCCCTGCATGTTTGTGGGGAAGGCTCTGGAGGGGCGAGGGCGGGGGTGGGTGGGGCTGCACCAGTTCTTCAGTTTCCCCGGAGTTGGACGACAGCGATGGGTGAGGCAGCGGGGGAAGGCAAAAGTGACTGCGGTCATGACGTCGGGAGAAAAAGTCAGGTCCTCTTTCTTCTTCCAGAGGCTAGGTGCTTTGGAAAAGGCTTTCCTCCCTCTTTGAAGGAAAGTTCCTTTTTTAAAAATTGCCCAGGATGCCTCCCTCTGGCTTTCTGTCCAGCTCCTCCTGCCTCACCCAATTTCAGATCCCATGCCAGGCCTGTGACGCCCCAGCCCCAGGCTGCTCACTTCCCTTGCTCTGCATCCTGCAGCCGTCTGCATGCGGCCTGGGGGCCCTCAGCCCTTCTGGAAGCCCCAAACATGTCAGGCTCCCACAGCCTTGGCCCTCCCTTTATTGGGTTCTCTGGGTCCTCCTCCCCTTACCCATGAGGCCTGGGGAGAGAACTTTCCTGGTGGGTAGAGATTGACCCCTGATGGCGACCCATGGCTTGAAGCCATTTGTGATCATAGATGCTGGCACTCAGAACACTCAAGTCCTCATTTGTTGTCGTGAAGCACCTGGCATGTGGGTGTTTGACCCGGTTTTAGGCTTGTCCACCCCCGGGGCACCTGCAGGGCCCTGTGGAGCTTTTGAGTGAGGAGAGGAGCCAGCTTTGTGCTCTGGGGACCCAGGTAAGCCATAAGGTCCTCTGACTGTGACAGAGTTCCATTTTGAGAAAGTCTTCAAAAACTTCTTTAGGAAAAACTTGAGGGGCACTTGGATGGGTTAGTTGGTGAAGCGTCTGCCTTCGGCTCAGGTCATGATCTCAGGGTCCTGGGATCAAGCCCCATGTCAGACTCCTTGCTCAGCAGGGAGTCTACTTCTCCCTCTGCTCGCTGCTCCCCCTGCTTCTGCTCTCTCTCTCTCTCTCACTCGCTCTGTGTCAAATAAATAAAATCTTAAAAAGAAAAGAAAAACTTGAAATAGCCCACTGTATTTTTCCTCATCTTCGTATTTCAAATTCTTTTGACACACATAAATGATTTTCCTCCCATTTCCTCAGAATTCCCTAACCTAAACTCATCATTTTTGATTATCTGCAATCTGGGGTTGTGTAAATGGGTCTCAAGTTGATTTGTGATGTGGGGTTCAGAGGAAGAAGTGGGCTGATAGTCTTATGTGTGTAGTTAATTGTGTGATTAATGACGGTAGCTGTTATCAAACGTCACGGGTGATGGAGTAGTTCCTGTGATGTGGGGAAACCTTTTCTGGTTTTACTTATAGGACTGAGGAGAATGGCAGGGGCAATGCCAAATGCTGCTGTATGTTTGCAGAATTTACACACATTTTTACATACAGATAGGGAAAAAGGAGGAACCAAACGACTGTGACTCTGAACTGCAGGGTTTCCTCTCCCTGTTTGTAAACAGGGGGGTGTTTCCCCCATGAGTCTCTGTTGTGCTTGGGTGGGTTTGGAGAGTTGGGTCAGGATAGCACTTTTCAGAATTCCTCTTTAGTCCTGAAAACCCAAGGCCCTTCCTTCAGTTAAATGCCCCCCGTGGAGGGCCTGTGTTCATGGCGTTGCATGTAGGGATTTGGCCTTTCACAAGGGAGCTCAAGGCATGGGGTTGCCAGTTCCACATCCCAAGTCCCCCTTTCTGCTCCCCACTCCCAGGTGCCCGCAGACGTTGAGAAATGTCAGGACCGGATGGAGTGTTTCAATGCAGACCTGAAAGCCGACATGGAGCGATGGCAGAACAACAAGAGGCAGGACTTCCGGCAGCTGCTCATGGGAATGGCGGACAAGAACATCCAGTATTATGAGAAGGTACAGAGCGTGCTGGCAAGACCCTAGCCCTCCCGTGGAGGAAGCCCTAGGAGTAGCAGGAGCCTTTCGCGATGGCCAGCCAGCCCCACCTGCTTCCCTGATTTTGTGTGTCTGGTCTTAGTGACCGCCCGTATGGTCCTTGCCCCTCACTGTGCAGGTCCGGTTGTGGGGGAGGCTGCCCCCGCTGTGCAAGCTGGGGTGCTGGGTTTGGAAGCAGAGCCCCTCCCCCTCCCGGTGCCCATGGAGCTTGTGGAAGTGGCACTTTTCTCTGCCGTGCCCTTTGGGCCTGGCAGCCAGCTGCTTCCCAGAGGCCGAGGACTTGCCTGTGGGCTTGTTCCAGGTAAGGAGGCTTTGAGGTAACCCCAGGCTGCTGTGTGGCTCTACATACGGGGGTTTCTCACTCTCGTAGTGCCATAGAACCCGCTGAATCCTTATCAAAATACTGTTCGGTTGTTTTTAAGACTTCAAAATACTGTTTGTAAATAGCTCCCCCAAAAGTATGTAGGATTACAAAGGAAAACTTTAAAAACAGGGGTTTTTTTTTCCATGAATCCCTTTGATTCGTAGAGCTGTACCCCTGTCTTGTCTCTCTCTCTCTCTCTCTCTCTCTCTCACACACACACACACACATGCACACACACAACCCACGGAGGGCACTCATCAAACTCCAGCAAAGTCTCTTCAATCGGGTTTTGCTCCTGGCCTAGCTAAACCCAGATCATTTCTGCTGAGAAATCCTAAGATTCCTTGAAAACCTAAAGTGAGAGATGAAACATGGCCCAGTCACAATTCCATAAGTACCTGTAGATGTGAAACCATGTGGGGTAAACATTAACTCAGCTAATCCCACTGCAATTCCAGAAACACGTCCTCATCCCAGGCTAGAAGAATCCATATCTTCTGAAGGCTTCGTGTCTACATCTTTCTTTGGAGGAGAGCTAGGGAGAACAGCCACGGAATAGCCGTTAGTGGCCAGGCCTTCGGAAGGACTGTTCGAGAGGGAGAGGGGAGGGAGCCGGCCTCTGTTCCCTAGGACCATTTCTGTAGAGCCTCTGCTGTGTCTGCTGACCCTAAGCTAGATGCTATGCATATGTCACGTCCTTAAATTTAACCCCCTCCCATATGTTGTGAAGAAGGTTTTCTGACTGTCCATATGAAGCTAAAGAAACAGAGGCTCAGTAAGTTTTTAAGACTGCCCCCGTGACACAGTTTGAGTGACTGAACTAGGGTCAGACTGGGTTCTGCTGGGGCCACAAGTCTGAAAGCTCCCACTCACACACATTGTTGGTGTGGTTGGCAGGGGATGTGCATCTTTGGGGCCAGTCATGACTCCCGCAAAGATAGATCCCTCCGTGCAAAGCCAAGGCTTCATTCCTCCACTGGCTGTGCCTTAAGCAGAGCGGCTCTCTGTGTCTGCCTCTTCCCCATAAAATAGATTGTGAAGACACAGTGAAACGATGCATCCCTGAGTCCCTAGACCATATGTGCCACTCAGTAGATAGTCTGTAAGTGGTACTACCTTCCCTGATCTCCTCCCCTTCCCTCTGCTGTCCAACAGCCCTCCCACTACACAGAAGCCCACGTGGTGGGATGTGTCCATCGCTTCTCCCCATGATTGATCCCAGCACTCCCAAGGCCCCGGCCCCAGAACTCAGACCCAGAGCTTATGTCTTCCCAGATACCACGAATAGGGGCCTTGTCTCAGGGGCCTCATCTTGGCTGCCACATACATTGAACATTACCTGCTGTGTCCCTGCCGTGCACCAGGGCCTGGGGATAGGCTGCTAAACAAAACAGCAGGACTCCTGCCATTAAGGAACCCTCCGCGCAGTGGCAGATACACGTTAACCCAGAAATCCTGTCACTTCAGAGTAAGATTCATGCTCTAGAGGGAAAGCATGGGAAACCTGGGGCGAAAATACTAGGGGCACAGTTCAGGTCAGGGATTGAAGGAGGCAAGTGGAGTGGGCAGGAAAGGCCAATCTGAGGAAACAATGTTTAACCTGGGTCCCAGAGACAAAGACTTGGAGAAAAAGTATCCCAGGCCAAGGGAACACATATGCAAGGGTCTTGGGGTGGGAAGAAGTTTGAGCATTTGAAGACTGGAAAGAAATCTGACGTGGCCTTGGTTCCCCATCGCTGACATAGAAGGGCCTTTCTAGATCTGAGATGATGGCCTAGGGACAAAGCAGGGCCCAGGGTGCCATGGACCCTGCATGGGGTCTCTCCGTGCAAGCAAGCTCCTAGAAGCTTCCCAGCCTTTGTTATGGAGGGCAGGGTCCAAGTCTAGTTTCTTCTCCAACCTCAGAGTCACTAAGGAAGGAAGTGTGGAGCAGTTTCGCCACCCTGCTCCCCAGCTTGACCAAAGAATGCCTCTCTCCTCCTGCCTGCTCAGAGCTCCTCCCCAGATGACTCACTGCAAAGGCCTGCTTCACCCTGAGCTGCTAGGAAGGCCTTGTGTGGTTCTTCTGGCCTGCCCTTCGTGCAAGAGATGGCTTGAAGGGAGGACCATTTCATTAAGTAGGGTGCTCCTAGAGGAGGGTGCTCCTAGAGGAGAGTGTCCGTCTCTAAGTTCAGGGCATACAGACAATGGCCCTTCACAAGGATCTGGAATGAAGGGGGATTGGTGTAGGGAAAAGAATATATATTTTTTTGCCACTTACCAGCTCTGTCACTTTCTAGCTACGTATCTTAGGCAAGTTATATAACCGCTCTGGGTCTCATTTTCTCCATCTATGAAGTGTGTGTGTGTGTGTGTGTGTGTGTGTGTTATAATAAGTAATACTTCTACTTCATAGAATTGTTAGGACCAGCAGTAGTGAATGTAAAACACATCCTGGCATTTGGACCCAACGAAACTCAATGAATAGAGCCCCCCCGCCCCCAGCTGCCATTTTTCCTTTTGGGATCCAGGAGTGGCCCATACAATCAAAACAGATCAGTAAGGAGCGAGGTTTCCACCCCCTCTGAGTCAGGCAGCTGGGCTGTGCCCGTATGATTGGCGTCCTCCGCAAGTCAGTCCTGCCCACACCTGGAGCAATGTCTTCAACCTGGCTGAGGACGGCAGGACGCACGGAAGGCTTGGAGCCTATTACCTTTTCTGCTTTTGGAAGGAAAACACTGTCTTCCAGTGAGAATATTTCCGCTCACCAGCTGTGAGCTCTAGGGACACTGCACATAGGCCTTGCAGAGACCCTGCTGTCTTCCGTAGAGATGGGGATGTCGTATTCAAAGCAGACACCTGTCACCCGCCCCAGTTTCTAATGGCGATGGATAGTACGTGTAGACGTCGGACGTGGCATATGTACGTTCCTTAGCCAGTACCGAAGGCAGAGTAACCTGGTGAGATGAGCAGAGAATAAAGCACCTGGTCCTGAAGGCTGATGCTGATACGGTGTCTGTGTGTGTTGTCATTGCAGTGCCTCACGGCGTGGGAGTCGATCATTCCACTACTGCAGGAGAAGCAAGAGGCCAAGTAAGTTCCCTCCTGGCACAGAGACTCTTCGACCTGCACAGGGCATGGCGTCCCCGCACGCCCCTGTCGTGCCAGAGGCCCGGCACTGAGGAAACAGCCACAGAAGCATCTCTCCTTTGTGTATTTCTTCCCCTGCCCGCCTCTCCCCGTTCGTCCACCGCTGGTTTTCCATTAGTATTTATTCCTTGGTGGAGTCTGCAAGGCTGGCGTCATCCCTCAGCGGAAGCAGCTTACCTCCGTGGCTCAAAGGAGCCGATGAAATGGAACAGCTGAGAAGACGTACAGCCGAGGGCTGGGCCGGCCCGGCTGACATTCCGACATCTCATCACGGAGGCTTCTGTCTGGGGGGCCCACAGCGTTGCCTGTGCTGGGGGGAAGCCCGGCTCTTGCTTTTCGAGGACACGAGGAAGGCGTGAACAGAAGGCAGCCCCTGTGTTCCGTGGACACAGGGTGACTCCAGGATGGACCCTGTGGGCTACCGACTCATCACAGCCGAGGCGGAAGCATTGGCAGTTCCGTGGAAAGCCCTTCCCTAATGGACCGTGGCCTCTAGCTGCGAGCATGGCCTGCCAGCCACTCGTGATGAGCGACAGCCGTTTTGTGGCTCCCGGGTCCCTCAGGACGGTCTCCGTCAGCGTCCACGCACGTCTGTGGCATCCTTGGCCTTGCACAACACTTTGGGAAGCCGAGGGGGGCCGTGCTCCCCAGACTTGTTTCTCACACTAGAATGCAGTAGATCGGACACTTGGTTTTGTGTAAGATGGAGAAAAAAAAGGTGCATTTTTCTCTGTGAAGTTCTTCGATGTTGTTTTTTGGCTTGTAAAATGCCGTCAGAGTAGAGATTAGGCCCGTCGTGGGGAATCCGTGTGGCTGGAAGTCTGAGCAGCTCCCCGGTAGCAGGGATTGGCAGGCTCGCGCCAGGCCTCATTCCCACACCTGCCCTGTGCCGTCTGCCTTCACCTCACCCGAAATTCCCCATTTAGTGTTTCCTGCCGCGTCCACTGAATGTTTGGGCAGACTTTTGCTGAGAGGCCGTTAGCGCTGTCATGACACGGTCAAGGTTTTGTAAACTCAACGTGAATGTTCTACATGAAGTGCTTTAACCCTTGATGATGTCCCCGGTCAGGAATAGAAGTCCGTAACTGGATGGGACTTGGAGAGGACTAGCGTAACAGAGATGTCTTTGCTTCTGGATAAGCTAGACTCTCCTCCGTTCAAGGAGCCAAGCTCCTGGGGACTGCCGGTGGCGTCTCCCATCTTCACTTCACACTACAACCAGAGGATCTATCTTCCAACTCATTTCGTTTCCTTCTGAAATGAAGCTACCTAGGTCCCATTGTGTTCTGTGGCTCAGTCCCTCCAAAAGTCTAAGTATGAGCCTCATAGAGGCAAGCTGTGTTGAGACGTTGGCACAGATGCTGGCCAACCTGCAGATCCAGAGCTCTGTGCAGCGTGTGCTCAGTGCTCTGTCCCACGTCCACCTGCCACGTTGACCTTGGACAGCTGCCGTAGTGACATCAGTGGCCTGGCAGAAGAATGGCACAGAACCGTTCAGTTCTGTTTCATCGTGTTCAAATAAGTCACAGTTTAAAATGAGAAGTCTCATATCATTTGGTACTTGCCTGCGCTGTCAGACCCACTCGTGGCATCCCAAAAGCCTGCAGTGCGGATTTTCAGTTTGGTACAGTTAGAAATGATCCCTTGAAGCAGAACGGTAAGGACGGGCTCTCTACCCAGAGTGGCGAGTCAGTGTTTCACACTACCTCTACACCGTCACCTTAGTGCAGGTCTGGATGTCTGGGTCCAGCCTGACACTTTGCTGGTAGAACAGGGTTGTGTATCTAATAAAGGGTCGAGGGCCCTCTCTTGCTATTTCATGGAAGGCACTAGACTGACCTTAGCAGCAGATGCTCATCTGCAGGAATGTGCCAGGCCTTGCCTTGTGGAATGTGTGCTTTAAAAATGTTGTCCAGCACAAGGAGTGCTTGGAAAGAACAGGGGAAAGAGTTGCTGGAAGACCAGAACCTCACTTGCAACTTAGTTGCCAAAGCCCAGGAGCATTCCTGTGTAAAGGTTAGTTGGGAAGGAAGGCAGCAGTTCAAAAAAGTCGTTGGGTTCCTCGCTGGGATGCATGGGAAGGGAGTGGGGGAAACAGTCATTCCTTACCCCACTGGAGGCAGAAGACGAGCTCAGGGGGGAAGGAGGCATCCTGGGATTTGTCTTTCTCTCTTCGTGCCCCTTACGATGTTTCTGTGCTTTAAGACACCAGGGAGAGCAGGAGCATTGACGGCCGAGCTGGGAGAACCAGTGCACAGTACAGACTTCCCCGCAGAGACACTTGTTCCCCGAGAAGGGACCCTCGCCCCTTCCTCTTCAGATGAGGTGAGGAGGCTGGCCTAGATAGAAGGCATGGTGGGCAGTGAGGGAAGCTCCCTCAGCCCCCGAGGGTCACCGGTCCGGGGCATTTGCCCCTTCCTCCTGGTGGGCACAAAGGTGATTCCTGTGAAAAGTGACTCGGAGATTTCCGTGCCAAAGACTGCCTCCTAGAGGCTTCCTCGCCCCATCCTGCATGGCTCCACAGTCGTGGGGCGGAGCTCACTGCCTCCTCTCTCAGATTTCTGTCCAGGGGGCTTTTGCTTGAGGACACGCTTGACCTCAGGCAGACAGACTGGGACAGGTTTTGAATCTTGAGCACATGGCCACAGAATGGAAAATGATCCCTGTCCACTGTCCCCCATATGTGGGAAGTGAAAGGTTTGTTCACCCAGGTTAAAAATCCAGGCTCGGGCAGAAGAGAGAATTCCCAGACACCGAGCCCGTGTTGGAGAGGCAGGTGTTGAAGTGGGCAAGTGTGCTTTGTGGCAGGCGTGGACCCTGGCCGCCTTCTCCTGTGCTGGATTCACAAGAAGATTCTAGGCTACTCTGCCCAAAGCAAAGAACCACAGTTCTTCCCGAACGAGGAGGGAACATGTTACACAGCCAAGTTTGGGGTTGGATTTTGTCCTCTAAGACTTAGTAATGATTCCCGGTGACCTCAGTTAAGTGCAATTATGGAAAGGATTGGCTCGTATCACTGTGCCACTCATTGAACTCCCCAGACACCTGTCTTTAGGTGAGTAACAGTAACAGATCCAACTCCAAGGATTCGTGGTGAATGTCATGGAACTTTGTCTTCATGCCAAATGTCAGCCACAACTGGAGTGTGTGTGCTGCGTGTTGTGGAATTAAGTATTTTTTCAGTCACCTTCCTCGAAAGGTCTTTAAATACTCTCGTGAGGCCACCTTTGTGTTGAAATGGTAGGAAGTCCTGCTTGAGAAGAGGGTGTGGTGGCTGGGTGGGCATATGCAACTGGGGTTTCTCTCTTGGGATGGCCAGTGTCAGCCCAGGATACATCCAGAGTCCGAGGGCCTGGGCCCTGCTGTCCACAGCACTGAAATCCAGGCCCTGGCTTTGTTCTGAAACCATTCATTGGAATGAGAGTAGTTCTTTAGACTCTGTCCCGAGAGAGGGCTGGAGAGTGGGACCCACCACAGGCCCCCAGGTCCGTATCAGCCTCGTGTCTGTGGGTCTCCGAATAGGTTAGAACTGGATTCTCCTCCGGCTGCCCTAAAGAACGCCTCTGCTCAGAAGGTGGGCCACCTGTGGTAAGGGCCCGGCACAGTAGGCCTGCTGCCTGCCTTCCCAGACGCCTGCTCGAAAGGCCCATGGAAGCTGGGCAGTCTTATAAGGCTGGAGGAACGGTTGCTTTGGTGATCCCCGCTTACAGGATGTTTTGGGAATTTGGGTTTGCCTTCTCACTTTCAGGAGTTCTCAAGATGGTGACAGATGGGACAGGCCCTCTTATGTTTGCTCCATTCAGATGGCAGGTGGCATTTGTCTGTAGATTTGAGGAAAATGTCATCCCCTGCGCCCGACGGACCTATAGAGCTGGGTGTGTTGGAGTTTTCCGCTTCCTCGTGTTTTTTTGATTTAACAAATAAACCAAAAACCTGATTCTTTTAATCAGTTCACCCAGTAGGTGGTTAGCTTTCTGTTTTAAGGATGGTCTCCCTCCAGCTGCCCAGATGAGAATGTGCGCAGGGCTGTCGCATAAGAAAAGGAGAATGGCCTGTTGTCACAGGGAGTTTGACTATTGTCCCTTAATCATGTGTATTTGAAATGCATTCTGGATATGACTGTCTAACCCTTTCTGTGTGGCAGCAAAAATATGTCATCTGGGTAGTTTTTATTACTCTAGATAGCCTGTAAGTGCGTGCTTTGGAAAAAATAACTTTAAGAAAACCAATAAGGTATTTGAGTCAGAAACATTCTAGTTAGCACTGGAAAATCAACAAACCCAGACTTTTAAAAATGCCACAGACTGCTGAAAGCCTAACTCTGCTTTTTGAGAATGGTCAGCACCTTTTCATATGCCTTATTCTTCAGCTCATGTGTTTTAGATTCTGGGTAGAAGGAGTTTTTAGACACATAATTGGTTGTTGAGCTTAATACTAGAGGCCTAACATAGCCCATCCTCAGCCATCCTTAAGAAGAAAGTGAGGTTCATAAATAGGGCTGCCTTTTGGAAAGAGAAAGCTAAGTGTTGCTATTGCCAAATGATATTTTTGATAATGTAAGGAAACACAGGGACCACTAAACCATTTTGTTTGTTCGTTTGTTTGTTTTAAAGTGTGAAAGATGAACTCAGTGCCTTTTGGCACCCTCTTGATTGTAGAGGATATATGGTATCCGGCATCGACAAATCACAGAGACACAAAGAACTCTAGATTGTGACAGTATTAATGGTTTACCCCAATTCTGCAGAACAGCTTTTAAAAAGATAACCAGGAAACAGGTGGGTAGGGGTGGGGGGAGGGCCTCAGATCAGTGTGTTTCAGATAGAAATTCTCCACACGTTGAAATGCCAAAAACCTAAGCCCTACTATGTCGCCTCATGTACGTTAGTCCGTTTCTGCAGAGCTTTCTCCATGAACACCAGTGACTGAGTATTACACACACACACACACACACTCTCCCCCCGACTGTGCCGCCTCCCTCCCCAGGTGATCCCGGGCTCCCTGTGGGCCAGGTCAAAGCTAGTGACACCTGTCCACACCTCTGCTTGACAGGTGGTTCACAGTCTCAGACCAGCCCTGCAGTCACAGTGGTACTGGAAGGATGAAAGGGGGATGGCTGTTTCCCCAGTGTGGAAACAAGGAAGGGAGAGGAGGTTGCAAACAAAAGGTAGATCGGTGTGATCCAAGGACACGTGTGTCAGCTGGGCTTTCGTGGAACACAAACCAGCAGCTCTTCACAGTCAGCACCATTCACTGGGACACTCCTGAGGTTTTGGTCCTGTCCAGTAGATGCCCTGTCCATTGTATATCCGTGTGCTTGATCCCCTTGGTGTCTGTACGTTGGGAATGCATTGAGAGCTGATGTCCACCTGATATCTTCCCACACAATAAACTGCCAGCAAACTTTCTAACTTGTATTTTAACTGTTGAAAAAGAGATTCAAAACTTTTACTTATTAGGTCATGTCCAAAGGATGGACTGTATTTCTTATTTTTAGAAATCATTCTTTACATTTAAAAATTTAACAGAACCCCCCCACCCGAGGTATTGATAAAGTCCTCTGTATAAGTGTTTTTCTCTTCTCTCCATG